AACACTGATTCCTGTACATTTTATAGGTCGTGACTTCACCAGTCATAACAATCTTGATGTAACAACACAAGTGGATCTGCTGATCAAACAAGCCACCTCACATGAGAATCTTTGCCAGTGCTACATTGGATGGTAAGACGTTTGTTTGAGTTTTCTCACAATAGTTCTCGCTGAAGATCATTGCATGTATATCTGATATTTTTTACTTTGCTTCTTTTCACAGGTGTCCATTCTGGTAATGAGACCTTCCGTTATTGAAAGGCACTTCATGAAGAGGATTTTGCCCTCGATACGCTGTGAAACTCGGCAAGGTTTAACTGGAGGACGTGAGGACCTTTTCACGAGAAACCCTTGCAAGGCTGACATTGCGAGAATTTAAACTGAGAATTGCTTATTTGCCAGCGCGCTCAATGACTCTGGTCTTCCAGAGTTATGTCGCAAATCGAGATCTGTTTCTTTTTTGATTCAAAGGTCGAGCTAAACTTGTGCTTAGCCAATGTATCAGAAGGGGTATATGTGGGTATTACAGCGATCTGAGGGTTTCGCTTAGGATAGTGAACTGAAGGTCTAAGTGTGGCAAAAACAGAAAATGGATTTCAACATTCAACAGTTGAATCAACTGTCGTCATCAAAGTTGATCATATGTAAATTTGATAATATATATGTATAAAAAATCAATAAACGTATGTAAAAGTAGTAATTTTCGTGCTCTGTTTCTTCTACCCTTATTAGAAATGGTACCTCGCAGAAGTGTGTCTGCAGCGTATGAAACGCTAAATTAATTGATGGATAACATTTATATCAGGTGGCTGGTGAGACAATTTATTTACAGCTTATTTACCGTGCGCTGTAATAATTTTTGAGAGAGATGAACGATTACTTCAACTTCAGCATCACAGAATAAATCGGCTTTGAAACCCCCCACCCCCCTCCCCCAGCTGTGAAAGTTGAACTGACAAGAATAAGTTAACGTCTCTGTCTGTTAATCAGTCAACATTGTCATGCATATAAAAAATGAAATGGATTATACTTTGAAGGGATAATTACCAGGAATAAACTTGTTGTAGACCTTTCGAATATTGACCGTCGCCCGCGTTCGCAAAAAATACGACTGTTTTGCAGTCGAGCTGGAAGAATACAATCTTAATTCGGAGTATAGTTACTGAGATACATAAAAGTTAAATAGTAGTAAACAATATGTCAAAGCTACTTTGCCTTGGGAAGGATTCAGCAGTCCAGACCTTAATTGTCCCGTTGACAGTGTTAAATTCTCGTATTTAGTTGAAGGAACAAGTTCCAGTTCACTGAGTCTGCTTTCGTCTTGTTACTAAGCAACTTATTCAACCTTGATGTCAACTTTCCAAGTAACCTCAACTGTTCCTGCTGTTAATTGATTGGACAACAAACCTTCCGCGTGCTTGTTTCCTCAACTAAATTGCCGCACTTATTACATAATTATCAATTCTTATGTTATATCAAGAAAAAAAGCTGAGTGTTTATTGAATTACTATGGCCGGCACCGTCCTCAAGCTGTTATGTTAAAATCTTCCTTGAGAACATGTGCTCTAGGTGTCAGTCCAAGCAGGCGCCTGCAGTGTTAGTCACGCGAGACGTGTTGTTGGCAAGTTGCACGCTGTAGGGCTCGCTCGAGGGTTGTACTCTGGCTGCGCACTTGTAACAGAACATTCCCTTCAGTTTCCCCCTGAACCGTTCATTCAACAGAGAATATACAAAAGGGTTGATGGCAGAATTGAACATGAACATGGTGTCGGAAATGGCGTAGGAGGCAGGACCAAACATGTAGATGTCATAGTAGCTTAAGATATATATTAATAAACCAGTAATCCAACAGACTCCAAAGATGGCACTGACAGTGATCACACTCAAGGTGACTCGCTTCCGCACTCTCAAAACTCCCTGAAAAAACAACGAAGAAAAGGCCTTGTAAAACGAGCAATTAACATAACGATTCGGACAGACAAACTTCAACAAAGGAACACTGGCATCGCCTCTAAAAATCAAACATTATATTATTTGATGCAAACTCTACAATCACTCTTGTCATGTACATGGCAAATACAAAATGTTTATGGTCGAACATAAGCAGGCTGCTTATGCTTAAATTGTAATCTTGCCGACGAAAAATTACACCGGCTGATTACGAACATGTTGATTTGACTCTCTCACTGTCACACATACAAACCGATAAGGTCGTGATAGAAATTCGCTATTTCCTACCGAATTCTTGATAAGTCTCACCTTTTGCCGAAACGCGAGTTCCTGACCATCATTACGCTTAAACCACAGCGTATAAACGACTCTGGAGTATAAGCCCGTCATCACGATCAATGGAATAATGGCCAACAATACAAGCCAAGTGGTCTCATTGGCCGCGCCCATCCAGCTTTTAGGCCAGTTCCACTTGCAGTCGCCGGTTATTTCATCAAATATTGTAACCAGAATCAGTGGCATGTTTAAAGCGACAGCAAAGATCCAACAACCAGGAATAATCACCTGAAATTGACGAGATTTGTATCAGTTTATTTACTGCGATGGAAATGTTAAATCAGTGATAAATGGAGTAGACAATGAAACATAATAGCTTCACAAGTTGACCAGCGCTAGCACCTCTATACATTGCTGCAAAGATCATCATCGTCATAGTTAGTAGTTGTAGTTATAGACGAATTAGAAGCAGTAGCAGCAGTAGCAATAACATCAGTATTTCCAATAGTTGACTCGGTAGCATCGAAGAAATTGTCGTGATAGAGCCGGGGAGGAGGTACTTCCTTAAAAGGGCTATATAGGTATGTGCGTCCCCAAAGGGTATGGTTTTTCAGCCGTTTTGGTCATAAATAAGGTATCGATTTTAGCCATTTTGGTCAGAAACAAGGTATGGATTTTGCAATCTGGTTTTGAATTAAGTATGTTTGTTAGATGAAGCTACTTTTTCATCATTATCGATAAGACCATCAACGAAAGCCCTTTATAAATTATGCTTAGAGCAACTGTGCCAGCCGCAATGGCCATAAATAGGGTATCAAATTATTGGTCAGGTCATAAACAAAGGAGGGAAAATCACAGATTTAGGTCATAACTAGGGTAAGGGTTTTGAGAAGCGGGCCGCACACCCCCACCAAATTTTTCTGGGAGTACCTCCCGGGTGATAGAGCTAGTGTGGTAGTGATAGTGCACGTTTGGTAGTGCTAGTGCCGTAGTATGAGGAAATGTGAGTGAGTTACAACCATGAGTCTGCGCACTTCTCGTTCTTTGTGACTAACCTCTACTGATCAATTGTATAGTAAGCCAAAAAGCATGGTGCCGTTACAAATAAATAATCTAAAGTTTTCATTTATTTAATTCATTGTTATTTACTTACCTTGACTTTTCGCTTGGTAAGTTTTCCTCTGCTACCAAGAGGACACATTACAGTGTAATAGCGTTCGACAGCAATAGCTACCAGAGTGACAGATGAGGAAGCTGCTCCCACCCATGCCACATTTCCCCCTGTTAGAATCATGCATAACCCAGAGCCAATGGCCCCGTCTGGGTGAGTGAAAGTTTTCTTCAAAATGTGATTTGGAGCTACAAACGCCGCGAACGTGATATCTGATATGGCTAGGTTCACAAGTAGATAATTGACGGGACTCCTGTGAAATAAATATCGAACTTATTTAAACAGCAGTAAGTGAAGTAAGGAAGTCTACCCATAGGAAGATGCATGCTCAAGTGTACGTAGATCACCGCTTTAAATTGTCCACAGACTTTTCCTTTAAAGTGGGATATGACAAAGCCACACGCTAATCATGCCCATTGTGACCATCCCGAGATGATGCAAAGAAACACTGAGCTGTAGTGGGGTATGATCGTCGGGCATCCGGTCTTTAATGCTTTTATGCTCGCCTATCAGTCCTTATTGCTATTATTAACTCCTACTGATAAACGTCTGCAAATAGGTCGAGTATATAATTATTGTATTTCACTATATTATGAAATGTAGAGCGAATGACCTAGATAGATGCCATCATAATGAAAATCTAAACAGGAGCGGATGCTAAATGAAAACCGGCCGTACATTAGAATGGATAAGATTTTACCAGTTACAGCATTTACGGCTCGTTAGAAATCAGAAATACCACCATTAGAAATAAACTCAGCATACCTCATATCTCGATTTCTGCTTATGACAAAGATAACGAGGCAATTACCAATGATGTCCGCGATGACGAGGGTGGTGAATAAAGTCGTTACGGCAACGTCAGCAGACATGACTGAAGGCTGTCAATATAAGTCACGTGACCTGAGAAATAAGCGTAGTAAATAATATTTTAGAATGCAAGTCAAGTCAAGTCAAACTTTATTTAAACAGAAAATCATATAATATTTGCTTGGTCATTTTAGGAGTTGTGTTAATTTACACCTCACCATGTCACGTACAAATGTTTGACCTAAAAACATAGGGTATGAGGTGTATCATCGTTGGTCCTGTCCAGGTCAAAAAATTGTACTTATTTTATCTTGTTCAACGTTTAAAAATAGTTCTCTCCAGACTGGCTGATGTTTCAGAATTCTTTTGGGAATTCCCTATTAATGGCTAAAAGATTACGATAACCGTAAATATTACACACTGTTGCAAAGAAAGAATGAAAGATGCGAATGCAGCCATAACACTACTGGAAAAATGACCTGAAAAAATTTCAGGCTATGAACGGGATTCGAACCCACGACCTTTGCGTTGCCGGTGCAATGCTCTACCAACTGAGCTATCAAAGCGACATGAGAGCGGTCGTGTGTGAGTTCGGCCCTATATGTTCAGTGGACGTAATACTCGGCTCAAGCATATGAATTCCATGGTAATAGATGTCATGGAATACATGACTTAAAATGGAATACATAACTTAATTGCAAATTCTTTACTTCCTGGCCATTACCTTGACATTGAATATATTACCATGGAATACTGTTGCAAAGATCTAAAGCCTCTAGAGTGCCCATGTTTGGAGACTGATTCTCAAGGACTGCAGGCCAATAAGCGAATCATTACCTAAACTGAATCATCGGTTGACAATCAGTCAGTAGGAAAACTGCAAACTATAATGAGTTGTGTAAATGATCGATTGTCAGCTGCCGAAAGCCATGTAAAATAATTTGATATTACTTTTGGTTCTGGGTGAAGTTTAAAAGTCATTTCTTAAGCATATCTAGCCCCGACCCAAATAGACTTAAGCTCAATGAATTTCCTAACGCAATCGAATCTTTATTTATTTGTAACAACCTTTCTATCCCTTTGAATTCTACTCAATGTATTTTGTTAAATGCGATATAACTTGAAATGAAAGCCAGTATTTCATGTCATGTTTTGCCGAAAACCATAAATATAGAGGTGGCCACCAAACTAAAGCAAAGCTACCTGTTCAATTATTATTGTTTTACGTCTTATTATTTGCCCTCAAGGTCCTATGTTACTTTATGTTAAAAGCGATTACGCAGGATAGGACTTAACTCTTTGCTGGAAATTAGTCAGTGGAAAACACATAACTGACACGTTTTTAAATAATTTTAATGATTCAAAAATAATAATTAATTAATTAATTTTAATCAAAATTAGAAGCAGAAGATAGTTAAACATACTAGTCGGGCATGCTATCCTACACCCGCCTCCTCCACAGGCTTTTAATTTTTTTTTTTTCTTAGCGCAAGGGGCATTGGGAGACTGGGAGTGAGAAAGAAGGCGCAAGCGGGAGCTGGTAGCTAGTGAATAACGTTTTTTGTTAGCCACAGTTTTAATATGAGTATACCGAGAGTACCTGGCAGTTGAACCTGCAGTTGATCTATAAGTTAACGATTCATAGACCCTTACTTTGGTGAGGAAAGTGATGAGTAAAGAGCAAAGATCTTGCTTATCCATTCTCAGGAAAATATATTGAAATGTCAACGTTTGTTAAAGCGAAAAGAAAAACAAACAAACAAACAAACAAAGCCACAGCGCGACAAATGCTCCGGGCATATGCCGGCCGGCAAATCAAAGAGATTCGCCTACGTTACCTGTCTTTATAAAAACAATAAGAAAAATGACCCTTTCCGATATTTTGATATATTAATTTTTACAATTTTATCTTGTAGATAAGCTAACATAGGATCTCTCATACTCATTAAGTTCTTATCATTTTCCTGTAAATATTAAAATTTTATAAGTACCATATGTCAATTAGTGATTCTATTTTACTAGTGTCCCCAATTAGTCTATCTAGGCTAAACACATAGACAGTTAGATTAAGGTTTTACATACTTACTTTACTTTACTTTTTCTTATATATCTGTAATCATTAAGTCCGGTTCGCTTTTTTTGGTTTCTGTAATTCATCGGTTACATTTAATTAACTTGATTGGCTTTTATGTCAAACAGCGAGCAGGAAATGAAAGCATCTGGACTTGTATTACAGAAGGTCTAATATGTTCGACCCCTTGCTGGGAAACTAGAAATACTTTTTCCGACTATGTCTGTGTCACGTACAGAAAAATCATCTTCTCAAAAAACGATTATTCTCAAGAAGATAACCGTAACATGACCACAAGGTTGTCCCTCAACGTAAAATCGCATGTCCTTATTGACAGCGAGCGAAAGAGTGTATGTACAATAAAACAGTGTGCTTACTAAAAGACAAAAACAAAAATAAATTGATAATCTAACTTGGGAGGAGGAAAACTTGTCATGCTAAAGAAAAGAAAGAAAACGCACCTGAAAACTTCCATGTAGCAACTACAGCAACTACAGCAAAGTTAGATTGTTTCGCGTTTTGCAACAAATGTTCCGCCAGTTTCCAGGTCAAGTGATAGAATTTCCGACAGTTCAAAAACAAAATGTAACGAGAAAACATCTTTTGGGCTAACTGAAGTTTGAGGCGACTGCGTTAAATATTACTTTCATCTGCACACAGGATAACATTTCGTAAATCGGCAAGTGAAAAAAAAATTAAAATTAAAGCAAGAGGTTGAAATTCTACATAAAACATCACAGTACTAAATAACAAAAGAAAAATTACACAACGAAATTGAGATAGATTTACAAATTTACTAAGGCGCTGTTTCCTCGTCTCGCGTAGTGCCGTTGTGAGATACTGAACATATAAGACCTCGTTGAAACATTGCTGCAATTAATTGCTACGAAAAGTAGCACTACACTCCGGTTTGAAGAGAAATTGCTCAGTGTAACAGCGCATTAACAATAACAAATACATGAAACTAGTTTAAACGTACATAAATTGCCGCAGCACTTCATGCGTGACACAGCGATGTTCCTTACTTACCAGAAGTAATAAACTAGTAAATCCGGTGGAAGATGCTGCAACTCTAGTCCAGATCGCCGGGCAAAGAGTTTGTTTTTTATCGAAATAGGAAAGTTTCAGACAACGAACTTTTAGAAAACAAGAACCTTAAAAAACATCAGTATTACGTGGCAGCTGCAAAAATTTAGTTAATGTGGTATGATAGACAGAATTGTGGGATATCCCGCAAATTGTTAGTTGTCATTTGCGATCCTCACTTGGGGATTAAAAAAATGTGTTCTTGGAGCTTTTCGAGAAGAGGTCCCTTTTTAATTTCAATATCAAATTTCTCTGTATGGTAGGCTTGAAAGATTTTGAGATCCTACCGCAGCTGAAAAATAATGGAGATCAGTCATTTCGTGCGATTCATGTAATAATCGAATCTATAACAAAATTCTCGATCGTGATTTATTCTCCGCGCGCCTATTTGCCATGTTATTACATCCATTTTGAAATCACTAGTGATCCTTGTAATCTGATTGGCTCTCAGTCCTGCGAAATATTCTTGAATCCCATATTTTCGTGCTCTGAATCGCATCTTTTTCCCAGACAACGAGAATGGAACACTAAAAAAGCCAACCAATCAGATTTCAATGCCAGAGATCAAATTAACGGAAAGCTAGCGCAATTTATTTACGAATCACGCTATTTTGTGTCCTAAGTTGCATCTTTTTCTGTTTTGCATACGAAATGAGATGTAAATGCGCTTCTGGTTCTGGTTTTAACAAACTGTCTTCTGTATCAAATTATGAAATATTGGTACTGGCCAAGGCGATTAAAAATCGATGTATTAAAGTGGTAATTGAGCTTCGTGTCGAGCAATTTTGGTCTGAAATCATGCTTGTAATTTCAAATCGAACTCGTGCTGCGCGCTCGTTCAGTTTTGAAATCACACGTATGATTTCAGACCAAATTGCACTCCATTCAGTTCAATCACCATTATGAGTTGTACTCTACTCGGTCCAATTACTATTACTAATAATAAATATAATAATAAATATAATAACAATAATAATAACTGCGAAAAAAACTTTTCTTAAAAACATTTAATAAATTTTTAAACGGTTAAAAAGTACTCGACATATCGACGTTCTTAGACGTCATTATCAAGTAAAAAAAACAGTATGAATATTCTATAAATTCAAGGAAAACAATAGTTCATTAAAAGGAAAGGTAGCATAAAAATATGCTACAAGCTAAACAAAGAGTTTAGCACTGATGGAGTCACTCTGAGTGTTAGGGCTAGGCCTCAGTCCCTTGATGACAAATTTTCCTTGGCACTTCTTGAGAACACGAAATTGGTCCTCATTAAGGAGATTTTTGCCGAGTATTGTAAGTCAGCATTACGTTGTTTATAAATTGGCATGTGATCTGTGTGGTGCAGATTATGTTGGTTATACAGCCCGACATCTTCATCAACGCATTGCAGAACACAAGTATTCGGCTATCGGTAAACACCTTTTAGAAGGGCACGGTTCTTAGCTAAAAACACCTGCTCGTGTTCAATAAAATTACAGGATAAAAACGAGGTAAAAATCTGCGGTCTTCAAGGCATGCTTAAAATGTAAAAGTGACCTCATGTCATGTATTGATTTGTCAAGACTGTTCCATTTTCTGCTATTCCTTAATATAAAAGGCCTTGTTTTCCATAATTGCGTCTAACTCGCGGTAAGTGAAAATTGGATTTACCACGAGTATTACAAGAAAGGATGTCACTGATTCGCTTTGTATCAAACTCTCCTGGAATTCTCTGGCCGCAGGAGACAGTATCCAAGAGGAGTCTCGAAGTGGATTTTATACGTTTTCATGAACACAACTGAGTAAGTAAAGGTTAGCTGAACTAACAACGCTTCGGATTGACACATTATTGGGAGTGTATTTCCGGACACGTTTACATACTTCTGTAGTCAAAGCTTAGATTGCATGACTGCGTAATGTGGGTCCCAGTCCCCGACGAAACTTAAAATCTATAATGCCATTTACATATTCAAAAACGAAGACACAGCGGTGTAAGACCTGTCGGTGTTGGGGACATATGCTTTTTTGATGATTAGATTCCAAACACAGTCCATCAAAACCACTCTTTCTAAAGAAAACCTAACTAAATGTCTTTGACGGAGTAAACAGTCTATGAATCATTCTGGGAATTGTAATTATACTGACAATTAGCTTCAGGACAGTGACAAGCATGCAGCAGTGTCTTGTAAATGGTTGTCTATCAGATATCTCTTCCCTAAAATGTGGGGTACCACAGGGATCGATTCTAGGCGCACCTTTATTTCTAATTTATATCATGATGATCTTTCCAATTGCTTATCATTCAGTCACTGTCAAGAATGTGTGCTGATGAAACCCACATTACATATGTTGAATCTGACTTAGGATCAATGCAGTATAGTCTGACGCATGATCTGCAAAAACTAAGCAAATATATGGCTTAGTTCTTACAAGCCTTCCCTGAACACTATACTAAAACTGAATTTATGTTGAATGGCTCCAGACAAAAACTGAGCACTCTGCCTGAGACACTTGAGCCCTTTACTGATAATGTTCCAGTGGAACAAGTTTCCTCTGTGAAATCACTTGGAATATCTATCGATGAAAATCTAACCTGGCAAACACACATCGACAAACGTTGTAAAAATATCGCCTCCGGAATTGGAGCCATGAAACGAATTTTAAACCCTTTGTTCCACGATCTACACTTCTCAGCATATACAATGCTCACTTTGACTACTGCAATTTAATCTGGGGTAACTACGGCAAAACGCTGATAGGCAGGCTACAGAAGCCGCACGTGTGTTGACTTCTTCGAGTTATGATGCTGATGCTAATTGCCTGCTTTAGCAACTCGGATGGAAAGATCTGTACGCCCAAAATGAAATTCATAAAGCTTTGATGGTATATATGTCTTTGAATGGTCTTGTTCCAGAATACCTCTCATCTAAAATTTACTAAACGAAATATAACACGCTACTCTTTAAGAGACTCCAAAAGCACACTAATGGTTCTCTTTCCATGACCTCAAAAATATCTTTAGTTTCAGTGGTGCAACCCTCTGGAACGGGCTACCCTGTAGCCTTAGAGAGGCTAACTCCCTTAAAGTTAAAGCCCTTGCTCAATCTCGAATGTATAAAATAGATACACAGCATTCATGGAAAACAGGTTGTTATGAGTACATAATTTTTAATCATATAGTAAATAAATTGTATATATAATAAATGATAAATAAATTGTCTATATTGTAAATGAAGTTGTAATGATATATTTGTAAACCTTGGTGAAATTTTTACCGTGTCTAAAGAATGATTAAAGATTTAAAAGATCAAAGAAACCAAACAGCGGAAACAAATGTTTGTTTAAAAGTAAACTAAAAACGTGGCTTTTTAAACGAGCATTTTTAAGTTGAAGTTCTTAATTATATATCTTTTTAAATATTTATCTGTTTCTGACACTTTCCTAATTTTTTCACAGTAGGCATTTGTTTAAGATTTAATTTCTTGTAAGCGCCATTGAACCATTGGGAAATGGGGCTATAAAAATTTTAATATCATTATTATTAAACGCACATGACATAACCCTGAATTGACAAAACGAACTACAAAGCGTGGCTAAACCAATCCGTTGCAAAGCATGGCTCAAATACTCAGTCACACATTAAAGCGTGATGAAATACTCAATTACAAAGCGAGGCTGAACCACTCAGTTACAGAGCTTGGCTTTACTACTTACAAAGCTTAGCTGATTGTTTCAACTCACGATCAGCTGATGATGAACTACATTAGGGTTTGAGTAAGTAAACTCCTGACTACAAAACCAGCACCCTAAACACTTATCACAAATGAAGCATTTCTCTGAAATGCTATTCAAAAAACTTCGAGAGCACGAAGCATTATAATGTAAAAAGGATGTTCAAATGAATCTTCTATCTCGATATGTTATAAATCACGTCATTATATTATAATATACATCGAATTTAGTTTTCGTCTTTGAATCTCTAGCTTATTTCGAGCAGCTCTGTATTTACTTTTGTAATTAAATGCTGTTTTCGTAAACTGCAGTTTTTCCTCAATTATGCCAGTGTACAAATAAAGGTTGTCCACTTGTATCATGACTTGTTTAAGAGACTTCCTTCCATACCTGAGGTCTATGGATGTTTCCAACACCATGGTCCGTAAAAGCCATCAGGTTATCTTTTGTCTCCTTAAAGCATTGATGAACCTGACTGATCCACGGACAATGTAGAGCTGCAGCCCGCACCCGCATTGTGGGCCGCATGTGGAGTGCTGCCGGGTTTCCCGATTCTGTTAGGTTCCCTGGATGCACGAGCCCCATTTACAGTTGAAGACTTGCAGCATATCACTCCTTTCAACTTTTCCTTGAATCGCTCATTCAACAGCGAATAGACAAAAGGGTTGACAGCAGAATTGAACATGAACATCGTGTCGGCAATGGCGTACGAGTGAGGACCAAACATGGAGATATCATAGTAGCTTAGAACGTAAACGAATAAGGCAGTAATCCAACAGACTCCAAAGATGGCACTGACAGTGATCACGCTCAAAGTGGCTCGCTTCCGCACTCTCAAAACTCCCTGAAAATACAACGAAGACAAAAACTGCTGGAATAACCACAGTTGGTGGAACTACTTTATTACGAATCAACTCATTTAATACGGCTGTGACAGTTCTTAACCAACAATGGATTTAGCGAGGCAAATCCAAGGGAAATGGTTTTGAGTACGAAGTTCGAATTAGCGGGATCCAAATTTACAGACTTCGCATCAAGAATTGGTCATTTTCATGTTGTTTTTCGTCTCTGTTGTAATTGAGGAATATCAAATATCAAAACGGGCTTTGCTCAAATGTCGCCTCCGTTTGAAATAGAGGCAAACGCTAAAAAAGATTCTACTCTTAGACCTCTTAGCATGTGTTTTTTAATTTGTTTCTCGCATCAGATACCTTGATTGGCCAGAAAGAAAACGTCGCCCTCTTACAACTGAAAACTGTTATTTTTTTGCGGTTTCAGGGCCTCAAAATGGAACCTACTCTGCTAAGGCTTCTCACTCCTGGTTATAGTAAATAGTACGGTAACCACGCTTATTTAATGGCAAAATCTGCTATTAATTCCCCAGCTTTCAACTTGTGGCTTAACGTATTTTTCCTAAGCTCTCACCCTCTGTCGATTGGGAAGCTCGTTGTCATTACTCCTTTTGAACCACAACATATGTACAACTCTGGAGTATAAGCCAGTCATCACCATCAAGGGGATAAAAGCCAACCCAACAAGCCAAGTGGTCTCATTGGCCACGCCCATCCACTGTTCAGGCCACATCCACTTGCAGTCGCCTGTTTCTTTGTCGAAATTTGTAACCATAATCAGTGGTATGTTTAAAGTCCATGCAAAGATCCAGCAACAGGGAATAATCACCTAAAGTCGGCCAAAAATATACCACATATTAACATGCTGAATGAGACTTCGTGTTGATGAACTAAACAGCGGTACGTGCAAATCCCCGGTTGATTGCCATCCGGGTTTTTTTTGGGACGCTGTGACTGGAAAAGACTTCACGTTCTCAATAAAACTAGCACTGCTTATTTGTCATTCAAACGTGAATGTCGTAATGCCGGAAACGAGTTCTAAAAAAGATAGAATTTTAAATTTGAATTTAAAATTTATTTTTTATAATGTAACTAATAGGAGTTGGACAAAAAACTACAATAAAAAAGTAACTAGAAAAATATAAATAAGTGAAAAATTAAGGCAGCTGTGCAAACAATCAAAATTTGTGATTGTAAAAGTGAAAATCTAGATATTCCTATCATTTTATGACAGTAACGATATATTTTTCATTTGTGCTAATAAGGTAAAACTCTGTAAACAGCTAACGTAAGGATCACCCTGCAGACCCAGCGGAAAACTACAATCTAAAAGGTCCTGCAGGAATGGATATAAAAAAAGTCGATGGTGTCTTTAATGCTCCCATGTGGGAGATAATAAAAAGGAAAATAAAACTATCGGAGGTGAGGTCAGCCAAACATAAGGCATAATGCTATCATGAGATTATACCCAATACTTCATTTTCTTACAAAAGTGGTTGTTATAATTTTGAAATGACGTAATGTTTGGAGAAATCATAATTCAGTATGGTGCAAACTGCGCATTTGCATCGCATACAGCTACAGACACCGCACAATGAGGCAATTCACGACATCGATTTTGTTTTAGCAATTTTTTATATAACTTTCTCAGCTATATTCGTGAACCCAAGTTACAATCAAAACAGGGTGTCTAATCTTACTCATCAAAGTCACTCAAAACTTCATCTTATTGTTTCTTCATCGCTCCTACCTTCAGCTTTCGCTTTGTGAGCTTCCCTCTGCTACCAAGCGGACACGTGACCGTGTAGTATCGTTCAACGGCGATGGCAACCAGGGTGACAGACGAGGCAGCCGCTCCCACCCACGCCACGTTTCCACCTGTTAGAAACCTACATAACCATGAACCAACGATCCCGTCTGGGTGAGTGAAGGCTCTCTTTAAGATGTGATTTGGAGCTACAAACGTCGCGAACGTGATATCTGATATGGCTAGGTTCACAAGTAAATAATTGATTGGACTCCTGTGGAGTTAATATCAATCTCGACTCAACAACTAATGCATGAAGCTCAAGTCTGGAACTCTATTCTTTAAAATAACAATTCGGAGAAGCCTGATGTATGAGGTACTCTTAGTGACGAGAGAGAGAGAGAGAACAGGAATATTATAATATGATAATCACTTCCACTCAGCCACTCAATTCATTCTACCATGAGGCCCAGATGGCCATATGTTACTTATGACATTCCCTGTAAAGATGTTTATCGTAAGTCATTATATTCTAATTTATGCTGAGGAAGCCACAAAAAAGCCCCAGCTCCAGATAGTCTGGCTCTTACTTTCTCCTCCCCAGCAACGGGGAGTAACGAGCTACTGAAATTTTTCCTGAAATAACCTTTGAGGTTGTTTCCGAACAATAATACATATAAATATTAGAGTTACAGTCATTGAAAGCTTACCTCATATCTTTATTTACTTTTATAATAAAACAAACGAGGAGGTTTCCAGCAATGTCGATAATGATAAGGGTGGTGAGTATTGTCGCTACGGCAATGTCAGCGGCCATGTCTGAAGTCTGTCAATGTTTATAGTCACTTGACCTAATAAAGATGCAGAAAAAACGAACATGTATAACAACGCTTTTACACTCATAAGTTGACAGGACCTACCTACATTATATTGCCAGGTAAATGTACTACTAAAGGACCTCTCAATTTAAATAGACGATATTGAGGTTAAAGAATAATGAAAAGGTTGAGAGGGATAGGCATTTTTTATGGACTAAGTAGGGAACTAAAACTAAGCCCATGGCTCATCGGGAATCTCGGGTGATAATTGTTACCATATCATTATCATAAACACATTTAGCCTGGTTAAAATAATCAGTAACACCTGTGCCATCCATTGACAGTCCCTGATATTATAGGAATAAATTTAATTGGTATTGAATGAGGTATTCGTTCCTTTTCGAAAACGTCAAATGTTGATAGGTTTCCATGACTGTGAATATTGCATCGCATTTTAAAAATTGGCACGATAACTCAATTTTGCGCGTTCTTTCATACTACGATATCCCGATCGGGTAAATTTCTAATAAAAACCCTAATTATATGAAAATCTTTCTCCATTGAAGCATTATTCTTACATATTCAAGCTCATCAAAAATTGGGATTATTTTAATTGTGCAAAACAATGTCATGGTCGAAAGAACTACTTGCAATCAGATCAATCCTCAAGCCTTGTTAAATCTCGTTGGACGCAAGTAAAACTAACTTCTAGATGTATAAGTCTTTTACTGAAGTTCAGGCCAAACGAGAGTTGAGGGACGGGAACCAGTACAAACTTGACCAGAATACACGACAGTCGGCTAGAGTCGTGAGGAGTGCATTAGAGTTTCCGGCAGGCAGACCAGTGGCAACGAAATGCCCTCCTGTGAGCTCACGTTCTTCATTTTCGTTTGGCTCTGGCTGAAGACTGCTGTTTTACAAAGGTTCAAAAGTCATCATTTTGGAAATGATTTTTCGCTCATCAGCGATTATCAAGGCGATTGTTCACACACTTGCAAACCTTCCTCTTCTCGTGATGGCGCCCACCGACTCAAAACTCTACTTCGCGATATGGTTTCAGATGTATTATAAATGACTTCCGTTGGAGTTTCTTTGCCGTGGCGTAATCGGGAGACAACTTGGTTTTCCTTTACCTTATTTCAATCATGTTTAGCTTATATTTTAGCCGTAGCTATGATCGGCAAAATTCCCATTTTACGATTTACCGACAACCCCTACACTATTCGGCAAGACTTCTTTGGGCTTGTTTTCGTCAATGGAATCGTAAATCGTTGCTTTGTATTACTATGGCAATTTCTACGTATTTAGTCTTCTACAGTGTCTTCTAGCTGACTCTAAATTATCAAGTAACTTGATTATTCAGGGACTTACCTTTTCTTTCTACAGCGGCCTTTAGCATGTTCCTTCTGTTCCTAACATTGTATTATTCCCTGTACATGTTCTGACGACTATTCTTAGTTTTAGAAGTGTTGGGCTGAAACAGAAACCTCGTCATATTTGGAAACAGGCGGATATTCAAGTGGAACAGCCTAATGTGACGTAATTAAAAGCCGAGTGTCTGTGACAATAGAAGCGAACAAGATTGTGTTCTTGATGACACCTTTCAGTCTCCTCAAGGACTGCCGAGATACAATAGTTATCCACGCTTGAAATACATAGTTCGTGTGAAAG